TCACCATCCCTGGATGTGTTCAAGTGTCACTTAGATGTGGTGTTGGGTGAGATGGTTTAGGGGTGACCCTGTGGCATAGGGTCAATGGTTGGACTCGATGATCCCAAGGGTCTTTTACAACCTGAATTGTTTTACGATTCTATGAAATTAGCTTCTCCACTGCCAAGCCTCAAAACCCAACTCAGGACCAGCGTTTCCCAGGGCTGATCCAGAACGGCCACGCCAAATCCTACAGAGACTACCCCAACCACATCACGAGCCTGTCCGTGCTCAGCGAGCCTGAGCAATGCCCTGGGACACCAGGGAAAAGAAGAAAAATGAATTTCTATACAGCTGCAGTAACAGCCAGCCTCGGTGGGGAAGGGCTTCCCTGTAGAGAATCGGTTCATTTGAGGGGAGGAGCAGCAAATCTCATATGGACAGAAAGGAAGAAAAAGCCAACATTACCTCTTTATCGAGCGTCCGGTAGCCACACAGCGTGTTAACGACTTCTCCGGGAACCTGTGAATACAGAACTGGTGAACAGACTTAGCTTGGAGGAAGCCAAAAAAGTGAAATATGAGAGAGAAGAATAAAAAATAAGAAGTAGAAGAGCTCAGGCCCAGCACAAGGCAAGCAGCTCCCCTCAAATCCCGCTTTGTTACCGCAGGCTCTTTTGCCCCAACGCACCGTTGGAGGTGTCGGGGTTTTTAAAGGTGTCTCAGTTTTCTGCTGGTTTGGAGGATGCTCAAGTGCCCTCCCAGAACTTTGGCAGTGATTTGGGCTGGGAAAACCTCCAGCACTGAGCAAAGGAGCTCTTTCAAAATGTTCCCTTGATTTTCTCCTTGGTTCATTCCAATCACTTTTTCTAACACCTTCAGTCACACCTCACCTTCATAATAAAGGGAATTTCACAGGGATTAAATGTATTTCTCCAGAAACCAAGGGGGATTTCCCCAGAGTATTCCACCACCTTGAAGAGAAACGTTAAGGACATTCCCAAGCCTTAGATCTTTGTTGGCCAGCAAAAATAGTTCAAGACCTACAGCTCAGGAGAGAAATCCCAGCCAAACGCCACTATCCAGGACCTTTATAAAATAAAATCAAATCTAATTCCTCAGCTTCTGTCAGGATGCAGAGCGGGATGTTTTGGGTTATGAAGCTGATTTTTGCTCATTCCTCCCAAAAAAGCAAAGTCGGAGAGTAGCTCCGGCACATCCTGAGCCAGCTGGGCACTTGGCATTTCTTGGGATTGATCTTCTGATGGGTTTCTTTTCGGCTTCTCTCATGGATCAAACAGCAGCTCCCATAACACCACGTATTTCTAAAGGAGCCTCGCACCCGTAAAATAACAACGCACTGAAGTGATGCTGTTCTCGGAGACATGGCTTTGATGAGCAGTATAAACAAAACAAAAAACATCCCAAGGCACGGAGATGAGAGAGAGAAATGTGCGCATTTAGAGGTAATTACGCTTTCCTGCAAGACCCACGGAGCAGATGAGAAACGTGTGGCTCCGGGCAGATTCCAGCTGAAAACCCCCCAACTTGTTCCTCCCGTAATGGGCAGGGAAATTCTTCCAGAGCTCCCGTACCTACCATGTCACTCACAGCGCTATCAAAAATCCCACCTCTCACCATTTCAAGACGCCGTTTACAAACCGGGTGTCGCTAATTGGTGCCCGGGCATATGAAAGACTCGAGGGGAACCCACCAGCATCGCTGAGAGAGGTTTCAAGCCAGGGTTGGGACCACGAGAGTGAAGTCGTTGCGGCATTAAGAGTTCTTCAGCACTAGAGCATTGCAAATCCTCCCCACGGTAAATGCCGTCACCTATAGTGGCATAAAGGAACCTGTAGAGAACCCAAGACCCATCTATTTGGGTCGCGTTAACAAAATAAACCACTTTTCTTGACAGCTTTCGGTCATCCTTGCTTTACAGGCTCAATTTTGTGGACAACACGGGAGCCTTGCCCATGAAACATCGTTGCTTTTTATCCTCGTTTGGACCCATCTGGCCACAGCACAGACGCATCACCCTTTTTTCCCCTTCTCACATCAAATAACCAAGGATTTATCAATCGCCACCAGTCCTGCCCGCTTCTTTGAGCAATTCCCTCAACACTTTGTGTTTGGGAGAGGCAGGGAAGAGAGAAAAGCGGCGTTTTAGCCTCGATCGACTTTTGTCAAGGTCTTGTGTGGGAAAGAAGGTCAGAGCTGAATTGAAATTTCCAACATAAAACCAGGCAGAAGCCTTTATTCTTCCAGAAAGCGTTCTGATGCCTTCAGGGATCACAAAAGAGCAACGCACGCAGACTTTAAAACCCACCGAGGGCGGAAGGCTGCAATCCTTGCGCTTTTTAGTGAACCAACTGCTTTTCTCCCCAGAGTCAGTGCCAAATGTCGGCGGTGACGCTTCTCGAGGGGTTCGGAGCCACCGCGCTTGGCAGAGGCACGGCTGCGCTGCGGCTTCCAGGGACAAGACACAAGAACCTTCAAAAAACGTTTAGGAAAGCACTTTGAGATGAGGATCCAGTCTCACATCCTCAAGCAGGTACATCTTTGCCCTTTTTTACTTCCCAGGAAGACTGACCTCGGAGATGAGACTCTTCAACAAGAGCCAGAGCACTGTTGGAGGACGTCCGCTCTCCCGACTGCCGCTCAGCCCGCCCTGGAAGATGCCCCAAGGGGATGAAAAACAAAGCTCTCAGAGGGACTTAGGACAGAAGAAGTTTTTTCTCGGAAAACAGGAGAGTTTTATGGCTGTACCTAATGCCAAGTTGAAAACACATGGAAATCCACCCCCTAACCCATGTTTCACGCTCCTTCCTTCAGACAAGCTGGTTTCCGTCGGCATCTTGGGTTCCTTCCGCAATATTTCGCTTCCAAACGAGCTCTTCTGGTACCCTCTACTTAAACCTCAGAAGTCCTCTGAGACAAAAGGATGCTTCGCTCTCCATCTTTGATTCATGGCGGCACAAACAGAGAAGAAGAATACAAGAAGAGAAGGATTCCTTGTCCTGCAAACCAGCGGATTTATAACTGGTTAATAAAACCAGTTCTCTACCTGGCGCAGAACTCACACACGTGCCTGGGTGGTCCCTGGTTATCCCCTCCAGCTGCAAGGCCAACATGAGATCTTCTCTTCAGCCCCTCGAGTAAGAGAATTTGGTGGGAAGGGTTTGCAGTGGGGCTCACACGTCGCTGAGACCCAACCGGGTACGTCCAGAGCAGGTGTCTTCTTCAGCCTGAGGTGCAGAGGTGCTTCCCCCACCTTCACAGCCCTCAGGGAAAACCCCCAGGACAGTTCTGCAATTTCAGCAAATAGCTGCACGTGGAAGTGCTGGAGCTTACGGTGAATGTAATTCCGGAGGATTCACTCTCTTGTTTTATGTCCCAGACAGCAGAAAACACAAGGGAGCTGGCTCTCTTAATCCATTCCATGTACTACTGCCCCACTGTGCCAAAAATCAAATCTCCGAGGAATGAGGCTACATCCATCTGCCTGCTTACTGCCCTCCCCAAGAACGGGTTTCATAGAATCACAGAATCATAGAACAATTCAGGTTGGAAAAGACTCTTGGGATCATCAAGTCCAACCATTGACCGTACACTACAAGGTCACCCCTAAATCACATCACCCAACACCACATCTAAGCAACACCTGAACACATCCAGGGATGGCGACTCAACCCCCTCCCCAGGCA